TGCAGGAGGCAGCAGATCAATGATTCTCTCTCATCATTGATGTTTCTACCTCTCTCTCTCTCCCTCTCCCTTCCTCTCTGACATCAATAAAAAATATATTTTAAAAAAAGAAAAACAAAGGTGTGCAAAAACAAACAACTCAAATTAAAACACACACAACAACAACAACAACAAAATGCTCTGCTTTGTGAACATCCTTTAGCTCTGGAACTGGTGGTCAAAGGGTGTGTAAATTTTTGGACTTTTGCTACACCCTGCCAGAAATCCCTCCAGAGAATTTGTATCAGTTTACATTCCCCCACATCACTGTGTCAAAATGCCTTTTTCATAAAATCTTGAGTTTTTCTTAAGATTGATTAATTTGATGGGTGGAAAGCGCTATCTCATAGTGGTTGACAAATTGCTTTTCAGATGTAAAAAACAAGAGTCTAACAAAACCAACTCACATATTTTAAAGATGAAGATCCCAAGATTTAGAGAGATTAGGTGACTTGGCCAATTCATCTAATTAGTGACACAGCCCAAATTCATATCCCAAGTATCCTAACTCTGGAATTCTTTCCATTATACCAATGCTGGAGAGGGAGAGTTAGCCTGGAGGTGAAACCACTCAGGGCCTATTTAATAACAAGGCTCAATTAGACCAGAGGCAATGTGTGGTTGAGGGAACAGTCAACGAAGAGAACTTTAATTAGTATCTGGCTAAGTCATCATCAGATAATGAGTACCAACACTCTCCATGTTAGCACCACCTACTGGTGACAATTTAAACTTCCACAGGATATCTCTGACATGGAAGGTAGGCTGGGGAAAACCACTAGGAACTGACTGGGTTAAATTGTCTTATTCTAGGAAGAAGGAAATAGAAAAAATTTCAGTATGGAGTCACTGAGTACTGAACCATTGGGACTCACACTGCTGCAGTCTCCTGAACTGCTGAATGAAGTTCCAGTTTCCTGTAGTGGCAAAGTCAGTTTCCTGTTCGTTCCTATTGTTTACATAGAATATAACTTTTTTCATTGTTCAATAACCTACTTTCTAGTTTAAGCCCATATTCTGCTAGTGGCAGGAAACTTAATATATAGGGACTTCCAGAGAAAAATCATTCGCTTTGGTGTTTACTCAGT